GATGCTTTTGAGTTGTGGTGTTGGTGAAGAATGCTGAAAGCACCATGGACTGCTAAAAGAAAATCTGTCCTGGAAGAAGTGCAGCCAGAATGCTCCTTGGAAGCGAGAATGGCCAAACTTCGTGTCACCTACTTTGGTCATGTTGTAAGAAGGGACCCTTCCCTGGAGCAGGATATCATGCTTGGCAAAGTGGAGAGACAACAAAAAAGGAGAAGGCCCTCAACGAGATAAAATGACACAGTGGCTGCAATGATGGGCTCAGGTATAGTGAGAACTGTGGGCCTGGCACAGGACCAGACAGTGTTTCCTTTTGCTGTAGATGAGGTTGCTATGAGTCAGAGATGATTCGACAACATCTAACAACAACAATAAAACAACTCCTCCCATCTCCTGGTCCTTAGCCATATCCTGCCCTGTTTCTGTTCTTCAGGGACAATGACACCGACACCTCGGGATGACTAGAGGCAGGGGTAGGAGCAGGAGGGGTGCAGGGAGCCAGTTTTGAAAGCTTGCAGCTTCTGGGGAGGATGCTGAGGCCCTGGCCTGTGTGTGATGGAGAAGACTGGAGAGGGCAGGAGGGGTGGGATGCTAATTGCTTGGTCAGTGTACTGCCCTAGAGTGAAAGTCTGAGACAGGCAGCATCTCTGCGTGCCCAGTCCCATTGGCCAGCACACTGTAGGTGCTCAATTTGCTGAAATAAAATCCATCTGTAGGAACACATATGCCCAGCGATGCACTACACCGTCAGGAAGCTCCAGCAGCATCGGGCTGCAGCCTGGGCTGCTCAGGTGAGGCTGGCTCCCTGTGGCCTCAGCTAAGCTGGCAGAAGCCCAGAAGGAGAGGATAGTTGGAGGAGGGTCACACCCCTTCCTGTTTCAGAGCCTGGCAGCCGGGCCCAACCATTGCCCAAAATACCTCCAGAACAGGAAAGGGAACCTGCCCCTTCCTCGCCCAGGTGTCAGGTGCAGTGGCAGCACCTGGCTGGGCTCCACCAAGACTCTTCCCTCTGCTGGCCAGGCACCCTCCAACCTATCTGACCCTCCCATAGTTATGCTCAAAACACCCAGCCCAAACCTTCTGATAAGCATACTCATCTCAGCGACCATGTATTCAGAGCTTTCTCTGTGCTAAGCACTTTACAGACACAATTGTGTTGGAGTGGCTCATTCCATCTGTTAGGATGCAAATGGGCCACAAGCAGCAAAATACGTAACCAACAGTGGCGTAATCAACAACAACAACAATAATAGCTAATAATTAGACTGGCGAGTTCTGGTAGCGTAGTGCCTAAGGCACTTGACTGCTAACCAGAAGGCTGGTGGTTCAAACTCACCAGCCACTCCTCGGAAAGAAGATGGGGCACTCTACTTCCATAGTGATACTGCCTTGGAAACCCAAGGGGGGTCGCTATGAGTCAGATCTGACTTGACAGCAGTGAGATTTTTTTTTTTTTTTTTTAATAATTAGAGTGCTATGTGCAAACACTGTTCTAAGTACTTTCATGTATAGTAACTCATTTAATCCTTGCAACAACTCTATTAGTGATCTGTACTATTATTGTCTCCTTTCTACAGATGAAGAAACTTGGCTCAGAGAGGTAAAGTAACTTCCCCAATGTCACACAGCTACCAAGAGGCAGAAATGCAGCACAAGCTAGAGTTGCCTGACTCCAGAGTCCTGGCTTGGAACTTCCCTGTAATGTAATTAAAGACCCTCCAGGACCTTAAAGCACATGACAGCAAAAGATAACAAGACCCATCTCCAAGCAGCTGCCACATGAAGGCATCACTTCTTTTGTTCTTCACATCCCTGTGTGGGAGTTAAGGTTGTGTGTCAGCTTGACTGGGCCTGGTTGAGTGTCTGGGCAGCTGGATGCAGTTATTCCCCATGATGAGACTGGTCATCAGCTCCACAGTGGCATTTACTAGAGCAGCTGAGTAGCTGCCTTAGGGCTGTGGCCTGCTTCCAGTATGTAAGCAGCAGCTTTGAGAAAAGTCTCTGAACCTTCTGGTATGCCTGGATCCTGCACGTAGCTGAGTCTTCATTCAGCAGCCTGTCATGTTTCATGCTGATCTTGGACTGTCTCTGGACTTGAACTAGTGGCCTGCCATGTTGCTTGATAATTGGGGGGCTGTGCCATTTAACTTGTTGACCTTGAGTTTGTCAGCCTCAGCAGCCAGCAGCTGCCTGAGTTAAGAGAAGCCTCCAGCTTTAGTGGGCTGAGAGCAAAAGGCAGGACTAACGCCCAAGGTCAAGGGGCTTTTGCCCAGACCCTAGAGCAGCACTTTGAACTCAGACTTCTAGCCTCCTAAACTGTAAGAGAATAAATCCTGTTTGTTAGAGCCACTCATTTGTGGTATTTTCTGTTAGAGCAGCAGTAGAGAACCCAAACACCCTGCCTCTGATACTCCCTGGCAGGGAGGGACCTAGACAATTCTCGTGTCCTCTCTGAGCCTCCTCCCCTCCTTCTGTGCTGGGAATATATTGTGGATTGACTCCCGTCACTGCCATTGAACCACACTGCCCTCCCCATCACCTGGTCCTCTCAACCTTCCTGTGAGATGCTGCCTGGCTTCCCGGAAGCTTAGAGAGGCCAAGAGACGTGCCCAAGGCCACCCAGGAGGTCAGTGGCAGAGTGAGGACTAGCACCCTCTAGTCTTGACCCCTGGACCATTCGTTGCTGGCACCACACCCTAAGGCTTATGGCTGTCCACAGGGACCTGCTGCCACCCAGGTGCCTGGGCTACCATCCTCTGCATTTTGCTATCTTTGCCAGGCTTCTCAAGTTAAAGAAAATACTCGTGCCCTTCCTCTCCTCGCCCTTCCGCCTGTCCTCCTCCTCTTCTCACCCACCTGGAAGTCTCCCGAGGAGGAGGGGGCCAGAACAGCAGCACCTGCCATGTGGCAAGGTCTTCACAGAGACGGGACAAAGACACCCAGTTTAGGGGTGGAGGAGGCTTTCAGCCAACAGACGCCCCCAGCTGAGGGCCAGAAATGGAAGGAGAGCAAAAGGTGGGGTTCCCAGCCCAGCTCCACCCCTCACCTGCCCTTAGACAATCCACTTGGCCAACACTGTGCTAAGCGGCAATACACCAGCCGGCCATCAGGCTGATTCTGACTCATGGCGGCCCCACGTGTCAGGGTGGGACACAGGGTTTGCAAGGGCTGATGTTCTGGAAGTAGATCACCAGGCCTCTCTTTGGAGGTGCCTCTGAGTAGACTTGCCCCTCCAACCTTTTGGTTAGCAGCTCTGCTCATTAACTGTTTGTACCATTCGGGAGACTCCAACAATGATGGGAATGTTCTGTTTTCTGCACTATCCAATCAGACAGCTGCTACTAACCATACGTTGATACCAAGCACTTGAGTATAGCTAGTGCAACCAAGGAAATGAAGTTTTTATTCTGTTTAATTTCATTAGCATTTAAATAGCCACATGTGGCTACTGTACTGAACAGACTCAACTCCTCATGTGAGCAGTGGGGCTCATGATACCTGCCCCCTCCTGCCTCAGACATGGCTGAGATCGGGAAGCGATGTTCTGTCACGGAACAAGCCCCAGCTGGGAATCAGGATCCTGGTGCTGGACTTATTAACTGCTGTGTGATCCAGGGTGAGCTTCTTAACCTCTCTGTACAAAAAAGAAGTTTGGAATCCAGGTTTCTTTACCAGGGACCCATGGATAAGATTAGGGGAATTTGGGGATCCCCTGAAAGTTATATAAGAAGAGTGTGTGAGAATGTGTGTATTAGGGTGCATATGTGCTACAAGGTACGTGTGTATTTCTAGGGAGAAGACCCAAAGCGTTCCCAAGTCTCAAAAGGGTCCATAATTTCGCCAAGGAGAACCCGCAGTCTAGATTAACTCTTTACCCAGGAAGCTTTTTTAAAATGGAGTTCCCTGAGATTCTGTCAGTGGCTCGGATACAAGGCCTTGAGATCTGTATTTTTAACAAGATCCCCACTGATTCCGATGTACAGCCAGACAGGGCTGCAAACCGGTTCATTCCGGTTTGACACCCCCTACTGAGTATTTGCATTTCCACCCCAGATAGACTGAATCAGAGACTACAGTTTAACAAGAACCCCAGGTGATTCTCATTAAAATGTAGCTTCTCATTCGTCTGTCTGGGGTGGGACACAGTCTCAGCAGGAGTTGAACTGGAATGAATGAACCAGTTCAAAGCCCTGCAGGCGGACAGAAGAGCTGGCCAGGCCCCAGTCAGCACTGAAATTTTGGGATTTGATGGCCCTGGAGCTATTTTATCAAGCAGTGTTGTTGTTGTTGTTATGTGCCCTCAAGTCGGACCAGACTCATAGCGACCCCTCCTTGGATTTCTGAGGTGGTATCACTATGGAAGTAGATTGCCCAACCTTCCTTCCGAGGAGTGGCTAGTGGGTTTGAACCACCAGCCTTCTGGTTAGCAGTCAAGTGCCTTAGGCACTATGCTACCAGAGCTCCTTATCAAGCAGTAGTGTCTGTACATATAAACAATATTCAATAGGGATTTAAGAAAACGAGAAAGGAAAGGAAAAACAATAATGATGATAATAAGACCCCTCTGCTTAGCTGTGACCCTGGGCAAGTCCCCTTCTTTACTTATCAACATTGATATATAGCTCTTTTAATGTGCCATGCACTGTTTTATGCTGTTTATAAATATTAACCCATTTTATCCTCCTGTGAAGTAGATGCCCTTGTCCCCATTTTACAGATGGAGAAACTGAGACCCAGTGGCAAGATTTGCCCGAGGTCATGCAGCAGGTAAGTAGCGGAGCCAGGATTCAAATCCAGGCAGCCAGGCACCAGCGTCTGGACTCTACCCACTCTCCTGTGGAGCCTCTGCTTTGTTACCCACTTAGAAGGGGGTGGAGGGACCCAAGGACCCTGAGGCAAAGTCCTGACCAGCTTGAGGCTGACCCCGGGCTCCTGGAAGCATTGCTCAGTCCACCCTACACCAAAGAAGACCAGCTGCAGGCAGGTGTGGGCCCCACACTCACTTGCTCTCCGACCCGTAGCTGTTCATGCTGTCCTCAATGGACTCGTGGCTGGCCTGGCGCAGTGTCCGGCTGGGCATCTCCACCGCGAGGCCCGTCTCTGTGCTCCTCTGGATGGCCCCCTTCAGCCTCCGGCTGTCCCCTTCTGGGCAGAGAGGCCAGGAGAGATGGGGAGAGAGACATGGGATGGGAGGGGGCAGAGAGATGCATTGTCTGGTTAGCATTCCAGTGGTCAGTGGCTTTCCAGCTCCAGGCCCCACCCCTAGCCCTTCAACCTCCTCACACCACCCACCTCACCTGCACCTGCCCTCCTGGGACAACCCTACCCAGGCCTCTTTCCTGCCCTTCATACCCACCCACCAAACAATATTAGCTGAGTTTTGTCAACTGATGGATTCATTTATATGTACTTTTATTTTCTTCTCCGTGAATTCATTTCTCCCATGCAAACCTCTGCAACCCATCTTACCTCCTCCTCTGTAGCTATTATTTATTGAGCATCCGCTACTTGTCAGGAGTCCTTGGATGGCACAAAGAGTTAAGTGGTTGGCTACTAACTAAAAGGTTGGTAGTTCAAATCCACCCAGAGGCACCTTGAAAGAACGGCTTGGGACTCTACTTCCAAAAGGTCACAGCCATTGGAAATCTCATGAAGCGTATTTCTACTCTGACATACATGGGGTCACCAGGGGTCAGAGTTGACTTGAAGGCAATGGTTTCATTGCTATGTGCCATACTTCCAGCCTCAGTGCTATTGACATCAGGGTCCTAGGGTTTGGGGGACAGGAGGGGTCACTACGAGTCAAATCAATTCCATAGCAGTAAGCTTGAACTTGAGCTTAGCAGCACCCTGGTCTTCACCCACTGGATGCAAGTAGCAGTTCCCTGCCTCCAATCATGGCCACCAAAAATGTCTCCACATAGTGCCAAATAATCCCCGAGGGGGCAAACATCACCCCAACTGAGGACCACTGATTTCGACCTTTGGCCCTGAAACCAGACTGCCAGGGTTCAAATCCTGGCTCTCTTTCTCACTGACTGTGGGAGTCTGGGCAAATTACTCAGCCTGTCTGTGCCACCATTTCCTCAACTATAAAGTGAGAATAACAACCGAGTTCTTATGAAGATAAATGGCCCTTTGGCCTTGCTATTCCGAGGCCATATCAATACTGAAGTAGATTGCCCACTCTTTCTTCCGAGGAGTGGCTGGTGGGTTTGAACTGCCAGCCTTCTGGTTAGCAGTCAAATGCCTTAGGCACTATGGCACCAGAGCTCCTAGGAGGAGAGTACCTTAGGTGTAGTGCCTAAGGCATTTGACTACTAACCAGAAGGCTCATGTTCAAACCCACCAGCTACTCCAAGGAAGGAAGACTGGGCAACCTACTTCTGTAAAGATTTATCACCTCGCCATCTAGATGCAACAATGGGTCTCTCCTCATCCAGAGCAAAGATGAATGAAGAAAACCAAAGACACATGGAAACAATTAGTCCAAGTAACTGCTACACCATGCGATCCACAACCTATACGACTATGAGAACAAAAGAACAAGATGGTGCCTGGCTACCACTGTCAACCACTCAGAGGGGGATCTGTGTAGGAGATCCTGGATAGAGAGGGAGAACAATGTGGAACAAAACTCAAAATCATTAAAAAAAAAAAAAAAAGGACCAGGTTTGCTGGTCTGATAGAGCCTAATGGAACCACTGAGACTATGGCCCCTAGCTGCCCTTTAGGTCTGGAATTGAACCCACTCCTGTGGCTTCCAGCCAAACAAAAAACAGGCATATGAGCTGAACATTTACATTAGGTAGATATGCTCCTGGGAGAGATCAGTCACGGGAGAACAGAAGGTCTGCTTATGCACAGGGAGACAGCTTGGGGGGCAGGAGTGCATGGAGGGAAGGACATAGGGAAGAGGTAACTATGGGGTGAAAGTGTGAGGGGAGCTGCTGCATTGTGGGAAACTGCAGTCAATGTCATGAGACAAAGTGTATGTGAACTGCTATATGGAAAGTGAATTTGCTCTGTAAACTTTCACCCAAATCACAATAAAAATTAAAAAAAGATTTACCTCCTCAGAAACCCAAAGCAGGTCCCTATGAGTTGGAATTGACTAGATGGCATTTGAGTTTGGCAGTTGGTTTTTTTGTTTGTTTGTTTATTCCCTCCCCTAGAACGTCTTTGCCCTGTCAGCAGTTCACTCCTGCACTCTGATCGAGCCTGTCCTTCTCTGCCCTGACACCCTGCCTTGATTTCCTTCCTGACACCTGGCATGGTACACACATTGTGTTTTCCCAACTAGCTTCCTGCACATAGAGTCCATGAGGACATGGGATTGTTTTGTTCACTACAGAGCCCCAGTGCCTAGTACAAGGTCTAGCACATTGTGCTCAGTGAACAATCAATGCAGGAAGAAGCATCTGTATAGACGAGTTCATACATGCTGAGCCCTGAGCACAGTCCTACCCCTCACAGCCACCCACAAGGTGGATGCCACTCTTCTTCCCACTTCCACGCTGGGGACGAGAGGCACAGAGAGGTTAAATGGTTCCATACCTGCAGAGCTGGTTAAGGGGGGAGCTGAACCCAGGTGGCTCTCTTCATTGACCAGTGATTCAAGGTCAACCTCTCATCTCCCACCCACCCTGTAGGGACTGTGAGTTGCCTAGAGATGGAGGACAGACTGGTGGGATCTTCCCTAAGGGCCACAAAGTCTGGAGGTGAGCCAGCATGCCTTAGGTGCTTCATCAAGGCTTGCTGACTGACCACTGCAGAAAGGCAGTCCTACTTAGCCTGCTCCATCAGGGCGGAGCTTGGCAAGCAAGCAGGAGAGCTGAGTCTGTGTGCCAGGGGGCAGAGAGGGGTCGGGCACTGCCCATGGGCCTCCTGGCCTCCCTCCTCCCCAATTCAATGATAGTTTCTCCTTTATCCTAGACTTTAAAGAGTGATACATATACGCACATGTACAATGTCACAGATGCTCATGTTTCTCAGAGAGTGTGTGCCCACATGCTTCTGTCTCCCCACACGTCTGTGCTATTCAGATACACAGATGTCCACGCATGCTCAGAAAAACACATAGCACCACAAACACAGGAATATACATGAAAGACATGGAGGGTGTTCATGTATGTCTGCGTGTCCACATCTGCATGCTTCCATGAGTCTCCGTAAACCTCTCCTTCTGCATGTTTGAGGCTACATGGACATGTGTATGTATGTGTGCGTCAGACACACATACAGCTGCACACACGTAAGTTTATACCAATCATCTCAAGTATGGACACAGAGAAACCGACACTCCATATTTCTGTGTGTTTGTGAACATGTAGCGGAGCATGTGCGTCCCTGTGTCTGCATTTCCACGTCACTCCACCATGTGTTCTCTCCCTCGCTTGCATCCGTGGGCCTCTCTCTCTGCCATCTCTGTTTCTCTGTGTGCAGCAGGCAGAGAGCCACAGAAGAAGTGCAGAAACACACAATGGACCCTCATGGGCACAGAGAGACACTCCTACACACTCACTCATACACACATACACAGAGTTGTATGTTCAGTGACAAACACACCCCCTGCTGGGCATACAGCCCTACAGCCGGGCACCCCACAGGCAGGCTGCAGACACCTGCCTGGGCTTTGTACTTCCCCACTGCACCCTGTTCTGGAGCGCTGCAATGCTCTGTCTCCACCCACCAGGGTCTGACACATTTCTTTCAGGAAAGGGAGGGCCAAAGCATGACAAACAACCCAATCCCCACGGGGCTGAGGAGGAGGTGAGGAGAGGTGTTCTGAGCATTTGTGTGGCATTTTGCAGCCCGCAAAGCATTTCACCTCAGTCCCCTGTCTAGCCTCACGTGAGCCCCGGCTCACCAGCCAGCCTGGGCTTTGAAGTCAGCTGGCCTTTGAATTACAGTGTTACCTCACTTCAACTACTAGCTATGTGTCCTTGAGTTGGATAGTACCTACCCCATGGGCCGCAGAGAGGGTGAGATGACAGAACATGTACCACGGTACTTGATACATGCTGTTGTTGGCTGCCTCGAGTTGCTCTTTGACTCCCAGTGGCCCTGTGTGACAGAGTGGAACTGCCCCCATGAGGTTTTCTAGACTGTAATCTTCACAGGAGCAGATAGCCAGGTCTTCCACGGAGCTGCTGTGTGGGTTTGAACTGCCAGTCTTTCAACTAGCAGCTGAGCACTTAACCATTTGTTCACATTACCAGAGCTCCTTTCGGCATAGGGTAGGTACTAAACAAAAGTAGCCACATCCAATGCAACACAGAAGACCTTCAAACACTCCCCAGATGGACACTCACCACAACTGAACCAAACCACACCAACAGTGTCCACTATCTAACATCAATCCCCTAACCCTTTCTTTGGTCATCTCTTATTGACTCAGTCCTAATTTCCCAAGAAATCAAATGATGGATTGCATTTGGCCAATCTGCAAAAGACCTCTTTAAAGTATTAAGAAGCAAAGATGTCACTCTGGGGACTAAGGTACACCTGATCTAAGCCATGGTATTTTCAATCACCTCATATGTGTGTGAGAGCTGGACAACGAATCAGGAAGACTAAAGAAGAACTGATGCCTTTGAATTATAGTGTTGGCAAAGAATATTAAATATACCATGGACTGCCAGGAGAATGAACAAATGTCTTAGAAGAAGGACAGCCAAAATGCACCTTAGAAGGGAGGATGGTGAGACTTCAGCTCACAATCTTTGGACATGTTCTCAGGAGGGACCAGTCCCTGGAGAAGGATATCATGCTTGGTAAAGTAGAGGGTCAGTGAAAAAGGGGAAGACCCTCAATGGGATGGATTGACACAGTGGCTGTGACAATGGCCGCAAGCATAGCCATGATTGTGAGGCTGACGCAGGACTGGGCTGTGTTTTGTTCTGTTGTAATAGGGTCACTATGAGTCAGAACTGACTCCATGGCACCTAGCAACAATATAATTCATCAGGCACTCTATACCTCAGTTTCCTTATCTATGTAATAGGGAAAATACACCAAATTCTTAGGGCTGCTGTGAGGATTGAAGGTAACAATAAGATACTGTAATGGTGTAACAGCATTTGTTGTTGTTGTTGTTATGTGCCGTCAAGTTGGCCCCGACTCATAGCAACCCCTCCTTG